CACGGAGCGGCGGGCGCGGGAGGCACGCGGCAGGGAGCGGGCGGCCGCATGCGCCGAGCCCCCGCGTGCGCTCCCCTCACGGGGCCGGCGCGGACACGTGCAGGCACGAGACCGCGGTCAAGGCCTGTAAACAGCGCCGTGCACGCACAGAGCCGGCGGCGCGCTGTGTGCCGCCCCCCTCGGGGCTTCACAGCTGTGGGCTCTGCAGTGAAGGGTACAGTGTGTTTTCCTCAGTGCGCACTTGTGGGTCTGGGGTAAGCAATACAGCGAGTTGTCCTGGGAGGGGCATAGCTGGGGAGGCTGGGGTAAGCAGTGCAGTTGAGTTTAGCGTGGCAGTGCACACACAAGCAGTACAGTGGCTGCACTGTGGGGGAGTACACGGGTATGTGGACAGGGAGGGGGCAGCAGGTCCACCCACCACACAGCCTGTCCTGCCCTGTGCTCTGCTCAGGGCCATGATCCTCCTGGGAGCTCCCAGAGAGGCCCCTCTGGGGTGGACAAGAAGTACATGTGCAGTCAACAAGCCTGCTCCGAGGGATTTTAGATCAATCTAGTGGAATTAACTGGTTTTGAAAAGCAAGGAAACATCAGCGTCCAGCGCAGGGCTCTGGCAACAACACGGGGGGCAGGGTGGCAGCCTGAGGCAGAGCCGGGGCATTCAGGGATGTGAGGATTCGGTGGTGGCAGTGGGGCTGGGTGGGCAGCCCCGGACATGGTGCGCTACTGACACCACTAAGATATTCCCCACCTTGGACACAACCTTGTGGCACCCAGCCTGCTCCCCCAGCCCAGCACCAAGATGAATCTTTTGCCTGTGAGCTGTGGGAAGCCCAGACCCTCTGCAAAAAGCAGGGTACCAACTCTACTGCTGTGACAATCAAGGCCAGCCCTGCCAAAGCCAGCTACCTCCACCCTCAAAAAAGTCACCCTGATGCAGAGCCACTGAAGTCACCACCACGGAAATGCTTTATTGGGGAGCAAGTGGGTAGTGGGCGTTAGCCAGGGGGCCAGCCCATCTGCCGCCCCCCCAGCACATGGAGGTGCAGGTGGTAGACAGACTGTGCGCCGTGCTTCCCATCATTGATCACTGTTAGGAAAGGTACAATGGTCAGGCCACTCCCTTTGTCCCCAGGACCAGCAGTGAGGGTCCTGCCTCACATTACAGTAGGGGTTACCAACTCACCAAGGCGGTAGCCATCAGCCAGCCCCTCTGTCTGCGCTGTGCGTGCTGCCACCACCATCAAGTGCCCTAGCAGCTGAAGAAGGGAGGAGCGGCAGGGTCAGCAATGTATGACCACCACCAATATCCCAGGGACCTTTCTGGACTCACCTCAGTGTCTTGGGGACCCACGCGACTGATCCGGGGGATGGGACGCTTGGGGATCACCAGGAAGTGCACGGGAGCTTGGGGGGCCACATCACGGAAGACAAGGCACTACCAGGGGGTGCAGGGTAAGCCCCACCGCAGCTGTGGGTTTTGCCCCCCTGCCCTGGTGGGGACACAGGTCCTGCTGTTCCAGCTACCTTGTCATCTTCATAGAGAATGGTGGCAGGGATGGAGCGGTCGATGATCTTGCTGAAGATGGTGGGCTGCCCTCCTGCCTCCTCGCCAGCCGCTGCTGCCTGCTGTGCCTTGCCCACCTCCCCGTC